ATTTGGCCCGAAGGCTGCTCTGCGAAATTTAGCCGCGCATTTCTCATCGCGTACGATTTGGCCAAATTTTGCCGGGCAGCCTTCGGGCAAGATTTAGCCAAATCAAGCTGCTCTTCGTATGTGATTGGATTTTTGAGTTCCATGTGTTTGTTGGCAGGCTTATTCTCTTACGCAAATACCACACAAAACTGCAGAGGTTAAGAACAACATTTGTGGGTCAAAATTTGCCGAGATCCTTTTGGCGCCCTGCAAAAGTCCTGCAAACACCACACAAAACGGCAGAGGGTAGGAACAACATTTGCATTTGTGGGTTAAAATTTTGAGATCTTCTTGGCGCGCTGCAAAAGTCATGCAAATACCACACAAAATGGAACAGGGTAGTCACCAAGGAGTTCTGAAGTTTACTTGTAGAGAAATTTCTTGAAAACTAAATATCGGAAACACTCAGTCCACCCGGTATACGAAATCATTCCGCTTTCAGAGCAAGAAGGTCCACGCTATACTATGCGAACAACATGCGCTTCGACTTGGCGGAGGCAGATGCTTTCAAATACACCTGCACTTGAGTATAAACTTGCAGTATCGCATCGACAGCTGGTGAATGTGACTTCTGCGTGAACCACGACACAACTACACTCAAGCTGTTTAGCAGTAGGGAAGCTTTGAACCTTTGACCGCGCCCAGAATGGCCAAGCCATGCCGCGAGGTTCTCGTCCAACGACACAAGAAAGCTAAGGCAAATGCCAGGGCAATCAAAGCGGAGATGCGGACGGTATGGCAGCGCTGGCTTAGGCGATTCAACAAGGCGAAGCGGAAGACTGCTGCAGCAAGGGCTAAGGTAACTGATGCCGGTTTCCAGGCCCCCAGCGAGTCCGAGCTGTCTTCGCTGAGCGACTTTGGAGCCTCGTCATCGAATGAGTCTAGCAGTAGTTGTTCAGCGGACGAAGCAGCCATTGACGCTGCAGTTCCTGCGCCTGAAGCAAAGGCCACGACCTCGCCCGCGCCCCGCGAGCCCTTAGCGCCACCTGCGAAGGCAAAGGCTAAGAGCTCCCCCGCACATCCGCCGAAGGCGATTGTGCCTAAACCACCACCCCTAAGAAAGCCCCGTGCGGCACCTGTGCCTAAGGCACCTAACAGCAAACGCGTTCAAAATGCAGAGGGCATTTTTTACCCAGGATTTAGTGACAGAAATCATCCCAAGTATTGCGCCGCGTGTGACCAGCTGCTTCGTGGATTTGAAAGGGCAACGGCTACCCACAAGCCTACCTGCGAGTGGCGGCAGCGCAAAGTGCCAGCCAAAGGACAGTCGGCTGCTTGACTCGAGTCGCAGAAGCTTGTCCATGAGCTAAAAGCGAGTCTGCACTCTTCCTGCCGCTCGCAAGCTGAAGATTAAAGCACGCAGTGAACTACAGCTCACGTCGCCTACTGTGTGATTTAACAGGCAAGAACTGCTACGTGTTCGAGAAGGAGAGGTGAGCGTGACTCAGACTGCAGCTACGAGCAACCCCAATTGCAGAATGTGATTCAGGACAGTCGGCTGCCTGACTCGAGTCCTAGAAGCTTGTTCATGAGCTAAAAGCGAGTCTGCACTCTTCCTGCCGCTCGCAAGCTGAAGATTAAAGCACGCAGTGAACTACAGCTCACGTCGCCTACTGTGTGATTTAACAGGCAAGAACTGCTACGTGTTCGAGAAGGAGAGGTGAGCGTGACTCAGACTGCAGCTATGAGCAACCCCAATTGCAGCATGTGATTCAGGACAGTCGGCTGCCTGACTCGAGTCCTAGAAGCTTGTTCATGAGCTAAAAGCGAGTCTGCACTCTTCCTGCCGCTCGCAAGCTGAAGATTAAAGCACGCAGTGAACTACAGCTCACGTCGCCTACTGTGTGATTCAGCAGGCAAGAACTGCTACGTGTTCGAGAAGGAGAGGTGAGCGTGACTCAGACTGCAGCTATGAGCAACCCCTAATTGCAGCATGTGATTCAGGACAGTCGGCTGCCTGACTCGAGTCCTAGAAGCTTGTCCATGAGCTAAAAGCGAGTCTGCACTCTTCCTGCCGCTCGCAAGCTGAAGATTAAAGCACGCAATGAACTACAGCTCACGTCGCCTACTGTGTGATTCAGCAGGCAAGAACTGCTACGTGTTCGAGAAGGAGAGGTGAGCGTGACTCAGACTGCAGCTATGAGCAACCCCAATTGCAACATGTGATTCACGCAAAAAAAACATGAAAGTAGTTGTACACAACTCGCGTAAGAATTAGAAGCACATTGAGGTTTTTGGCGGATTTGCTGAAGCCACGCTTGTGAGTGAATCGGCAACTGCATTGCGTGATGTGCGAGGACAACGAACGAAGTGCTTCATCTTCATTGTGGCTCTGGTGAGATAAATTTAACAGTTTATGTTTAGGAAGCACCGCGAATGCAAAGTTAACAACAAGCACAAAACACACTCAGTATGCAACAGATTTAAACGCAGTAACAATTATTCTTGCGAAAACAACACATGTACTTGCTTAGACGAAGCCTTGCATGAAAATACAGCATTGCAATAAAAGCACAACCTTTGTTAAAGCTATTGTACCTGCGTCGCAGAACCGTATATTCATTCGAAAGCAATATGATCATTTGCCTCTATCTGGAGAGATATTCAATACATGTGTACTTTTAATGTGTATTTTTAAGCGCATGTTTTATTCAATATTCACTTTAATGTTTCAAATTCATATGTAAGTGTTATAGTCTAATAGGTCCTCTGACGCTTTTCAGAAAGCCTCCAGAAAATTCAAAGAGCCCACGTCGTTCGATTTATTTGAAGACATACGTAAAATTCATGCTATTTTGTCCGCTGCGTCTTGTTTTCTTATGTATCTGCCACTTGCATAGCCTTCATGTGGCATGCTCACATATATGATATAACATTTACCGAGTCAGATGTCTTCCTGAAAAGCTATATCAGAGCATGACTTGAATCGCTGCGTGACCGCAACATTAAAAGCTCGAGCAGCTTGTGCCAAAGAACAACCTTCCATTCAGCTACTTGTTCGCATTTTCGGCACGCACACGCACGCGCTATGTTGTGCATATTGTTAACACGAGGCGGCGGCCATCGCGCGAGGATGTGTTCCCTGCATGCGTACGATGCTTATTGAATGCGTGACGTTATCACCTCAAGCCGAAATAAAAAAGCTGAGGCGGCACTTTCCGTACAACACCTGCCTCGCGGACGCATTGCAAACATAGTCAGTATTGAGTAAACACTTTTCGTAGTACACAATTAGCTTGAGACCAAGGTCGGCAAGCATGCGCTGGTCTTCTATGCCATGGCTTTGTGAGGATGACGGTGACGAAGGGTTACGACGACTATTAATTGTGTACTCTATTCAATCAATATAAATCTTTTATGCATTGAGGTTGAAGACTGAGTCCTTGGGCCAGACTTCATCCCGCAACGGTTGCTTAGATTTTAATGGCAATATACTTGCGTCTTCCACATATATATATATATGTTCAAGACATCAAGGATGCATGGTGCGTGTACCTCGCTGGCGAAGCGACGTGTTCAGTGCTCAGCTAGTCTGCGTGCTATAGGCCTTGCCACTTCGACGTTCTTAACGCTCGGGCATAGCACTTAGATATTGCGTTCAAAAAAAAGCTATCGAGGAAGTCCGACGCCGTGATCACGCCCAAGCAGTTTTTAAAGGAGTGCAGCCCTTACATACGTGCACTTAGAGTCGCAGAGTCGTATGATCACTCTGATAATTTGCGCATTATGCCAGACATTTTTGACTTCAAACCGCTGTCTCAGGTTCGTGCTTACGAAAGTCGTTGACGACCAGCCACTCATCGTGCCTGGTAATCAGAAGCTCCGCATGCTTATCACAAATCTTTAGAATTCCTAAGGTCGGAACAAAAAAAGCAGACGACGAAGAAGCAAAGCAAATGCTTCATGCTTACTGTGGAACTTGATTAGTTATTCGTTCCTGCTTTATTTGAGTTCTTGTGTCAGGGTACATCGATCCAGCAGGTCGCCTGAAGAGGAGCATTCGTACAAAAACACTGCGCTATATAATAGTCTTTGGCGTCGTGCGAATTAGTACGTCGCAGGACTAAGCACAAGATTCCTCATCCTACGGCGAACTCGTCTGCCAAGTTGTGGACTCAGCATGCTCCTTATAGATTTGTTTGAGAGTACGTCTGCCGTACAAGTTACTACGCTATACAATAGTAGTTAATGTCGTGTGAGTTATTGCGTGCCAGGACCAATCACGAGATTCTTGACTCTGCGGCCAGCTCGTTTAGCGAGTCGTTGACCCAGTACACTCGCTGTGCCTTTGCTTGTGACACGTGTTTACTTCTGCGCACTTACTATTCCATGCAAGAGCAGTGTCTGTGACGACTGCCCGGCTATACAATAGTCGTTGATGTCGTGTGAGTTAGTGTGTGCCAGGACCAATCACGAGATTCTTGACTCTGCGGCCAGCTCGTTTGACGAGTCGTTGACCTAGTATACTCGCCTGTGAGTACGTGTTTACTTCTGCGCACTTAGTATTCCATGCATGAGCAGGGCCTGTGACGACTGCCCGGTACAGACGCAGCGGCTCATCAACGTCGAGTCATCCACTCGATTGCGAGATCGCGCGCTGTATCTACGTAACCTGTTGATTGTTTAAACAACTGAGGATTGCGGCAATCTATCACTGGCACTTGTTCAGGTGACTTTGCTATAGTTATTTCATCGCGAACGTGTGACTTTAAGATATCATCTTTGTTAGTGTATCACTGCAGCTGCGTCAGGTCCGATCAGATCAGCAGCCCCAGCATCGAAAAGCTAATCCACATCGAGCGCGAACCTCGTTACGTCACGTGCTCCACATGTTAAAGCCTAGTGCAATGTCATTCGTCCAAGGCAGACAGTCAACAACACATCTACCTGGAAGTTATGGACGCCAGTCTGTTGAATACAGCTTACTAGTTACATTTGTGATAATCGTTGCCTTGCCTCATTGTACTAGTTCTTGCCCTGAAGGTCTGAGGCTGTGAAGAATTCCGATGTCGACGACAAGATCTTCAGATTGCCGAAGCAAAGGACATGTTTCGAGACTTACATTTAACGGTTTAATATTGCATACTTGACACGTCTTAATAAAATCATAGAAGCTCACATTGGATTCTAAACTTAGAAGACACTGAAGTCGAGTTAAATGATTAGCAGAAGTGCTTGCTAGGTGACAAGCTCGACGAGGAGATCATCAATCTGCCGGAGCAAAGGACTTGTTTCGAGACTTACATTTAACGCTTGAATCCTGCATAATTGACACATTATAAAAAAAAAGTTCAGATTGGATTCTGCATTCAGTGATAGGCACAAGTGCTTGCTAGGTGACAAGCTCGACGAGGAGATCTTCAGTTTGCTGGAGCAAATGGCATGTTTCGAGACTTACATTTAACGCTTGAATCCTGCATACTTGACACATTATAATAAAATCACAGAAGTTCAGATTGGATTCTGGACTTACAAAACACAGCAAGTCGAATTCAATGATTGGCGCAAGTGCTTGCTAGGTGACAAGCTCGACGAGGAGATCTTCAGTTTGCTGGAGCAAAGGACATGTTTCGAGACTTACATTTAACGCTTGAATCCTGCATACTTGACACATTCCAATAAAATCACAGAAGTTCAGATTGGGTTCTGCGACGAGAAGACGCTCGAGTCGATGAAAATATCTGCCGCAACTGCTCGCTAGGTGCCAAGCCGGCCAAGGCAATCTGTACAAGCTGGCGCAGCACGAAGAAAGTCGTTTTATCAGAGGCCATTATGTAGTCACAAACAAAACATCATGTAGATGCCGAAGATTCGCAGTCGCAGCAGGACATGCCATCCTGGACTTCGCTGGCCCGCAACGCTTGGTACAAAGGCTTTGCGCGGAGAGGACTGCGTGACGTACATGCGTCGACTCCACAAGAAAAACATCACCTGACAACCAGGAAGAAATTCATTCCACGTCCGACTAAACATTCCTCGACGACGGCGGCGAGGTGTACTGATTC